TTTGGACTTCTTGAACTTTTTATACGCACGAGGCATGATTCACTAAAAAACACACAGTCGCTTTATAAAAAATAGAATATTTTTCACTTTTGTCGTGAGAATCAATTGCGGCAGCCAATGTAACTTTTCGTTGTTCACTCGGCGGCGTCGTAACGTACACTGAGGTGGTATACAATGGCAGCGCGACGCCTATACGACGTCCTTTGAGCGAGCAACACGCAGCGACATGCACAGAGCGCGAGCAAGACAAGCGAGTGCGAGAGATGTACATTTACAACGTACACGATGTAGATGTTTATGTTACAAAATACTTTTAGCGCCGTTTATAAGTGTAGTCGTCGCAGAAGCAACGAGCAATGTTTCGCGACACCGCATTGAACGCCGCCAGCCAATCTTTATGCGTGAAAGGCGCACCGTATGTTTTACGATTAAATATCGCATTTGTTTTTTGCGAGGATTAATTTGACTTCTTATATCCAACATGCCTAACAAGTTTAATTTGAATAATCAAAATTGTCGCATAGGGTTCGTTAAGTTTTGGAATTCAGACACCTCTGGTATGAGACGATTTATTTAATAACGCATACATAAATGAAGAATCATCCATACATAATTGTATAAAATATATCATTATTATATCCAATAAAATAACGAGAAGACGCGATGCATGATTAGATTTATTTACCCGAGATGCGCGCGATAAAAACCAAAGAATCGAGTTCTCCATCGCAAGCATTCGTTGACATCATCGTCTGCGGGTTGATTTACATCGTTTTTACCGAATATTAACGTTATGAATTATGAACATGACTGCTTCACGTCGACTTTTTCGATTCTGTTTAGAATTGAAAAACTAGTTTTTTCAACTAATTTTAATCGGACGGTAACGATTGACTCAATTCGTTATAAAAAAATAGAAGGAAATGAAAAGCAACTGTTAAAAAACAACGTCAAGATGAAAAATGTTTATATTTTACTTTTAGTAAATATAACGAAAGGAAAAAACAATAAAATCTAAATCCAAGTAAATTAATGAGTTCATTATTTTCAGATATATTTATTTAAATGGTATGAAAAATCTATTACATATAACACCTGCACAAGAGCATTTTATTATTACTAGATTTGAACTTTGGCCTACAAACAAATAAGCCGCAAATCTTCGTTCATAGATACACAGTGATTATTTTAACAAAAATAAATATGCAAAGGATCTCCTTGATATCATTTCCCACAGATCGCTGCACAGAAAGAAGACAAAACATGAAATTAAAAGCAGCTGTCGTCCGAGTCCGAGTCATATAGGAAAAATATCGCGTCACGTATTTCCGTGCATTTTTGTCCTGCAGCCGCCAAACAAATATGACACAAATCTTCGTTCGTGAACAGCTTGATGATTTTTTCAGAGCAAAGAATCGGCAACTGGTGGCCCGTCAGCTCCATGAAAGGATCAAATGCCCAACGCCGAAAAAATCCTCTGGCCATTATCTCGCACAGACGCGCGGTACATGCCTTGCTGTAGCTGCTGCTGTAGCCCACGTGATCATTCAAGTTCGCCAACTCGAAAAAGTCCGAATATGTGAGCAAATCTTCTGCCTCTTCGGGTCGTAGACGGGTCACGTCGTAGAGCGACAGATCTTCAGTTACCTCCAGATCTTGAGCTTCCATCTCGAAACATACGTTGTCATCCAAACGGTCTTCGCGATCCGCTAACTTCTCGAACAGCCCGTACTTGTCGAAAAATTTCATTATCGTCAAGGCGCCGTTTCGCTCCAGTTCGTATCCGTATTCTTCCAACTGCTCGACGACGCCCAAAGCACTTGCAGCTAGTCTCAATCTGTATCTGAATTTATACTTCATCATCGTTAGAAAATGATTCAAGTCGATTCCCTCGGCAAAGTAATCATCCGTGGGGAAAACAAATTCGGACAGGTCGACATCATTATCCAATAAAAACTTGACCACACCCGGCAAAAGATTCGCCACAGCGAACTGAAGGGGTGTCCGCCCCAGTTTGTCCACGGCGTCGATCTCCACCGACTGATCGATTTCTTCGCAGATCTCGAATAAATTCTCCACCATATCATCGTCGTTGTCTCTTTTGCAAATCATGTGCAGAGCCGTCAATCCATTTTGATCGGGCAAATTTGGATCCGCGCCGTTTCTCAGCAGGAACTTGGTTATTTCTTTGGTGTAGGTGCTGTGTTGAGCTGTTGCCAAGTGTAACGGTGTCCTACCCAACTTGTCTTGAGCGTCAATTTGTACCGGTAGATGATCTTGGCTCGTGAGCTCGAACACCATCTTCACTACGTAATTCTTGCTTTTTATTGCGGCCGCGTGCAAAATTGTCGATCCGTCCCTGTTGGCCAAATTAGGGTTGGCGCCATTTTGCAGCAGCAAATTGATCATGTCGCTGCAGTAACCACGATAATTGAGAGCCACGTGAAGCGGCGAATCACCCGTTTTTTCCATTAAAACATTGGGATTTTGGCCGAGATCGAGGAATTGCTTCACCACGTCGACGCATCCAGTCTCGCAGGCTACGTGGAAATGAGTGAGCCCTGACTCGTTGGCGTAATTCACTTCGCACTTGTATATCTTAAAAAGCTGACGGACGTGTTTATCCCGGTTATAGTACTTTTTATCGGGTTCGGTCCCGCGGTGCACTGCAGTGTTGCGATACAATATCGGCTTGCCATCTGCATCGAGAATGGCTTCGTCTTGGTAGCCGCTCTTGACCACAAAGTCGATGATGGGAACTTCGAAATCAAGGTATTTGGTGTTCTTCATATCTTCCGCGAGAAGCCAATCGATTTCTTCGGTCCGAAACACGTCCCGGAGGTTAGGGAGTTGGCCCTTCCAATCGTCGATTAAAAAATACAGTTCATTAAGCAGTTTATGTCGTTCTTTTGCAATATCCCAATTGACCTCTTGACGCAATCTCTTTAATTTAACGAGGTTGGCTTGGCCAAGGTTAAACATTTGTTCGGAATCGTAGTCGTTTTTTCCACCGCTTTTTTCACCACGGGCATTTTTATTGAATTTTAACATGGTTAAGTTCACCCACAAACACAATGCACTGCAGTCGCTTATGGAATATTTTTTACTTTTGTCGCGAGGATCACTTGCGGCAGTCGATGCGATGTTTCGTTGTTCACTGTGTGGCGTCGTAACGTGTACTGGCAGCCCGTATAGTAGAACGGTAGAAGGCAGCAGCACGAACTCTGTTGTGCAGTTGTTTCGGTGAGCAACTCGAACGGACACGCACAGCACGAGCGAGTCGAAACAAGTGAGTGCGTGAGTTACGCGACGCTTTACGCATGAGTGCCGAGCATAGTCGTCGAAATAGCCCAGCGTACGTTCAGCCCCTATGTCGAGAGTCGGCCAATCTTTGCTCGCTTGTTTTTCGCGGAAATCAAGTAACTCATAATGCCCAACACGCGCAAACAATTTTCACTGGAAAAAGACATCCACATACACACGGGGTAAGTAGATCGTTGAATATTATACATCGCCGCTGGCGTATAGAAATTTATAGATTTATTATTATATTTATTTAATAACACTGGGCAAAGCTCCGGGTACTCTCGTATCGGATTTCTATCGTCGACAGCGAGCCTTTAAAAAATCATATTTTGAAATATTTTAATTTATTATATTCGTAAATATTCGCGCCGTCCACTCTGGCGTGGCATGTTTACCCGATATTATTATATAGTACACACTACACGCACATAATATAACATATATTCGTCGAGCGGCGATTTATTACTTCCACTGCGATATAGAATTATAAATAAATACCCGGTTCAGCTTCATATATCGGCAAAATCGAAAATATTTATTGAACTGCATTATAATATATACTCGCGATTATCCATATAGATATATAGAAAATCACAGGGAATGAGAGTAATCAACGCACGCCGAGAGATATATAGCGTAAAGTGAGCCACATAGACCAACACTCATCTATACCTATACGCTTTAACATATAAATCGATGCAGCCAATTTAGATTAATGCGATAATCATTGAAGTGTGAATGGAGCGTATGCATATACGCGCGTTTATTTGCCTTTACCGCGCGCACCCATAAACGTGCAACTCGATTTTACCCCTTAAATATCGCGATTCGATATATAGGTAGTCGCGCGGGGGCTATATAAACGATTATATATTAATTTAACCCGTGGATCGACGACCCCGCGCACGTCGATATTCATATATTTTTTTTTTCAATATTCATTCCGGATAGATGAGTGCTATCATTTTTCCATTTGGCGCGTCGCGTTGATATAGCTAGATATCGATATAATGTGTATAAGGTTTCGCGCGCGTGGCCGACTAAATTGATGCTTTACCACTTGCTTTGTTGGCTATTATAATCGCTCGCAAAATTAGTGCTTCGAGCGAAGAATCGCAAACATCTTACTTAATCGTTATACCGAGATAGAGAGAGAGCTCGAGGAAAGTTTCCGGTGTAAGCTCCACAGCACAGACCAGAAACCGCACGTTATGCTTACCGAAAGATTTTTTTCTCGTTATTATGTGTTAGTTTGTCACGATTCAATGAAGATCTTCGAGTTTCGTAACTATCTCCTAACGAACAAGCTACGAATTAGAAACTTATACCGATCGATTTTCCAGCTTATATATCGCTATACTATATAGCACGAGTAGTCGTACATGCGAGTCTCGGCGCTACATGGCAGTATCTTCCTGCAGCGTGTACGATATATGTATGCGTAGTTACCAACTGAAACCTCTATATATAGCGCAACAGCTGAGTTAATTCAAACACATTCGGTGGAAGCCGAGGCGTTAAATAGTTTATGAAACTGGCAAATTTGTTTACCGCAGCCACGCGGAGTTAAACCGAAATTGCCGAACGTCGAATGACGATGGATGTGAGTGGTTTCGCGACGTTCTCACTTTGCATAAATGCCGCAGCAGCAGTCGCAGATATTATTTCGTTATTTCATCTATATTGCAACTAACCTGGTGGCGCCGCTGTATTATTGGCCGCCAAGTCCCTCAGGCAGTCCTGCTCCAATTTTTTCAGATAGAGCTCGTTGTCGATGAGCGTGCTCGCCGACATCGTCGCGTTCACGGGCATCTGCAAAAGAGAATTAATTTCATTTTAGTTTGATCACCATCCGTGAATTACTATACCGCACATTAGCTGTCATTTTCCATTCCATAATTTTTTTCGCAATTTCATATCATCATTTTTCATGTACATGTATAATAACAAATCAGCTGGATATACTTATACGCTCGAGCCAGAAGGCTAGATTTGCAGTGATCGCGCATCTGGTATTCTTTCTATATTTCTATCTCTCTCAATAATTCACAAAGAAAATCGTAATCGGATTAAATTTTTTTTGCTCCCCTCCTACGATACGTATAGCTGCTATTCTCTCTTCCATCCGTGACTCCAGCGGCGGCGACGACGATGATTATCTTATTTGCATAATGGAGGCGTGAAAAGTATGAGAGTCGCTCGAGTCGCGCAGCTTTTGAAAAAGGAGATCAAAACGAGCTTGCAGCTAGGGGGAAAAAAAATCTTATCTTTATGAGCCGGGGAGGCATTTGACTATATTCCGCGAGCAACGAGGGTGCAGCACTGGCAATGACACTGCAGCGTGTGTGTGCGCTGCAGCTTAGCCCGCCTACTTATGAAACAAAGCACTTTTATGCGCTTTGTAGCTAATAAATTCGACAACAAGCTCAAAAGAAGCTGGAATAAGAAAAAAAATGAAATTGTTTTTGTGCGTTAAAGACTTTTCACTTGGATGGAGAAAGAAAAAAAAGGAAATAATTGCTGTATTATTAGACTTGTTTCAAAGGCTTTTGTAATAAGTTTATAACTTTACAATTGACGGAGTATTGCGCAGTCGCGCGAAAGCCCAGACCTATACATAATATTGTATATTAACGCGCAAAACTGCCTCAAAGGGAACTCGATTGCCCGATAAAAAAGTCTACGTAATAATTAAAATCTACAACAATATTGGATATTGGAGTATGTGTTATATACATTATTACTGCTGGAAGAGGGGGAAACGCACATAATGTACTTTGGCCGTTGCTCGTCGAGTAGCTAGCTCGCAGCAGCAGCATTTACAGCAGCAGCGGAGGGCACAAATGAAACGCTCTCGCAAAGCGGAATTTCATATGCAGAACTTTCTTAATATGTTAATAAAAGTCCCGACTACGTACGTGCCGCACAATTCGATTGAATCATCATTCACCAAAAAAAAGATGCACGTCAGATTCCATCAGCGAACGTGTGCACATATGAGTAAATTTTGAGCAAAAAAATAGTGAGAGAAGAATCGGAGATGTAATGGAAAAATTAAACGGCCCCCATGCAGCAGCAGCCGTGTTAGTAAGAGAAAAAATTGTAAAAAAACAAGATGATTTACGATCTCTCGCGATACTCGGGGCTACAGCACGCGCTACAGAGAAGATGTATTGCGTCGTTCGCGCGCGCAATGATTGACAATAAATTCAAATGGCGTGACGTTTTTAGCGACTGCGGCGCGCAAAATGCGATTGCTGCTGTGCTACTGCCGCGCACTTACGGCGTAAAATGGATAAATATCGAGCGATTTTTCGAGATCATTCGCTGGGACGATATTTTTCGACTTCTACGAGATCATTTTATGAGGCGATAGAATTTAGAATTTGCCGAACGAATAATTGAAACGCCAGCGCGATGTAATCGAATGAAATATCGTTCGACTTCGATTGTTGCTGCGCAGATACACGAGTCAAATTCTTAATTCGTTTTTGCCTTCTCTTACAGGATGGTTTGTGATAGACTTGAAAATGAGTTTTTAACCAGGTGTCGGAGAATAATTTTCTTTACATATTTTTATGCTAGAAATCTAAAAAATGTGTGTAATTATTATATTTGTGTGTGTTGTGGATAAATTTTTTTTTTGAAAATAAATTATTTTTCACGAAAAAGCTATTTGCCAATGAATTGGCAGTAGTTATTTATAAATCTCTTTTATCTATTATATATCCGCTATTAATTGTAAAGGCATTTAACGAATTTAAGTTATTTGCATTGTCAAGCATTAAATCGTTAATTTATTTCAATATTATATGATCATAAATTATACGAATCTTGTTTTGTTGAATTATCAACGCGATTGCCATAAATATATTATTATCGCCTCAAGCTCCGATGACCAATTAAACTTCATTTCTAACATCACATGTGTAATAACATTTAACTTTCTGTATCAGTGTGAATTTAAAGTTATATTTCTCTGTCGTATAAATTTTTATCCGAATTAAATTATAAATCGTACGTTTGTGTGATCAAATTGTGCGCCCGGATGAATGACATCTTCATTACAATTTTGCTGTGCTAGTCGATACTGGAGGGGGAAAGTATCGCCCAGGATTCATCGCAATCGCGAGGTTATGTCACTGATTTACGAGTAGTGCATACCTACAGTCGCTGACTAGAAGCTGAATTCCTGGAGTAAGCAAGTGTTTACAAATTGGTGAATTCGAGCGAGGTACAGTGTTGGCTACTCGAGGCGCATAACCTCGAATATTTTCTCAGTGCAAATCATGAAAAGCTACAGTGATTAAATACAATAGAGCGAGTAATGGAAAGTAAAGAGGACAAAATTAGGTATACCATTTTTTTTTTAAATATTTTTTTAAGCGATTAAGTCATTGAACTTGGTTATTCCTCAGAGTGAAGAAAGAGCCGGATGATACTTGGCCAGATGCAGGTGAAGATTATGTTTTAGATTCGGTGGGCTCTTACGAAGCCAAAAATGTTGAAAGATTCCTGTGTTATAAATCATCAGTGAGTTCCACAATTTGATCTATGTTCTAATTTTTCATTGTCAAAAGCTTTTACATAATTTTAACTTTAGGCCGATTACATTAATGAATATATGGCGTTACAAGAAAGATTAGATGAAAAAATATTTATAGATATCGAGTACAAATATGTTAAACCTGAACTGCCATCACCATCAACAACCATCTGCAAAACTGAGTATCAAAGATTTTTACCTATTGTAAAAATAGAGAGCGAAATTCAGGACAATTACTTGATCGATAAAGAACTGACAATTTTGATAAAAAAAGAATTCGATTATTGGAACAAGTGTTATTTTCAAGCGAATTCCGGAATGAAGTTTGGAGGAAACAAAGATGTGAAAATATCATTACAAACACAATTATCTTATGACCCTGCAATAAGTCGAAAAACTAATGAAAAAAAAGTGAGTCTAATAACACATATTAATAAAACACATAAGAGTATAAGACAATATGAATGTGATATTTGTTACAAATCATTTTCATACAAAAGTGACCTCAGTAAGCACGTACGTGCAGTACATGATCGTATCAAACCCTTCGAATGTGAGATTTGTCACAAAACGTTTGGACAAAGAAGTCAACTCAAACGTCATATAAATTCAGTGCATAATCATAGGAAACCCTTCAAGTGTGACATTTGTCAAAGATCATTTGGACAAAAATGTACCCTCAAATATCATAAAGTTACAGTACACGATCGGAGCAAACCCTTTGAATGTGATATTTGTCACAAATCATTTGGATGCAAGAGTAACCTGAATAAGCACATAAATGCAGTACATAATCGGAAGAATGGCTTTGAATGTGAGATTTGTCAGAAAACTTTTGGATACAAGCAAACCTTAAAAAATCACGCGAATGGAGTACATGCACGAAGCAAATCCTTCGAATGTGAAATTTGTCACGAATCATTTGGACAAAAAGGTGATCTCAATAGACATATAAGAACAGTACATGACCGCAGCAAACCCTTTGAATGTGACATTTGTCGCAAATCATTTGGATACAAGTGTGATCTCAAGAAACACATAAATGCAGTACATGACCGTAGCAAATCCTTCGAATGTGATATTTGTCGCAAATCATATGTCCGCAAGGATACTCTAAGAAATCATATAAATACAGTACATGACCGTAGCAAATCCTTCGAATGTGATATTTGTCGCAAATCATATGTCCGCAAGGATACTCTAAGAAATCATATAAATACAGTACATAATGTGATTAAATCCTTTGAATGTCCGATTTGTCTCAAATCATTTGGACGATCAAGTGTTCTCGGACGTCACATAAATGCAGTACATTATCGGAGCAAGCCCTTCGAATGTGATATTTGTCACAAATCATTTGGATATCAGAGTAAACTCGTAAGGCACATAAATGCAGTACATGACCGCAGCAAATCCTTCGAATGTGATATTTGTCGCAAATCATATGTCCGCAAGGATACTCTAAGAAATCATATGAATACAGTACATAATGTTATTAAACCGTTCGAATGTGATATTTGTCACAAATCATTTGACCGCAAGAATACTCTAAAAGATCACACAGATACAATACATAATCTGATTAAACCCTTTGAATGTGATATTTGTCGCAAAACATTTGGATACAAGTGTGATCTCAAGAAACACATAAATGCAGTACATTATCGGAGCAAGCCCTTCGAGTGTGAGATTTGTCACAAATCATTTGGTCAAAAAAGTCACCTCAAATCTCACATAAATTCAGTGCATGATCTTCTCAAATCCTTCGAATGTGAAATCTGTCACAAATCATTCGGACAAAAACAACACCTCAAATGTCACATAAATACAATATAATATAATAATCGTAGCAAGTCCTAGAAGCGTGAGATTTTTCCGGAGACTATTGGACGTACTAAAGATTTCTGTAATCATATGAGAGTGTTAAATAATCCTAACAAATTTCCAACATGAATATCCTTTTATTTTGTAGAGAATAAATAAGTATTTCAAGTAGTTATTAACTTTGTCGTAATTGTGTAAAATCTTTTACTGACCTACCTTTAAATCGATTGGCAAAATAATTTTTTTTCCTATTAACGTAATAGTTATTTATGTAACAAGTGCCCAAAAAGCTGGGCACGTGTTGCATAAAAAGCTTTTTTTTGCACCCAAACTGCATACTTTATTTTTTTCAAGCAAATTTTTCCATTTTTCCGCTCAGTTTTTTGCACGACTGCTCTATTTCAACATCAGCAGCAGTAGTAGAGGCATACAGACGCGGTCGAAGTCGAGAGCAAAAAGCCCATGGCGAAGTAGAGATAAATCGCGCGTGTGTGCGCTGTGTGTACATCGAGGAACAGCTGCAGTAACACAGAATCGCGTGGCATAGCAGTTATGTGCTGTACAGAGGTCGAATCGCACTCATTGCTGTTTCCAGCTGTTTATATGTGTTCAGTTATGATGAATGGAACTCGCGATGAAAACAACCGATCTTCGTTTTCTTCTGTTTTTTCCTGACCGTTTCACTTGGCAGACGTAGATTTGACGTTAAAGTACCGCGAGTAAAATCGAGGTTTTTGTCTCGTTTCCTTTTTCTTCCCTCTTCTTTTTTTGGTCATTGTACTCTGTACTTGGAATTCTGCGAGAGTAATTAGTATTGCGTTATATAGGCGTTTCTAATAAACAACGCGCGATAATGCAAGCGAGAAAATTGTATTAGAGCGAAGCGACTCGGAAGACTCGGATATTATGATGCGCATCGAGGAATCGAAGAAGAATTAGCAACTTTGCCTGCGCAAGGAGTAGCAGTCGGGAAACTTTGCTGTACAAGTTGGTGTCCAAGTGACCGTAGCAGAGATATCAAAGATGATATTATAATCATCGAGAGAAAATTTTTACTCTAGCGCTGAGAGAGAGATAGAAGAAATTAATTATTTTACTGTGCTATATTTGATTTGATTTATGTCGGTCTGAAGCAGAAACTTCGATCCATCTGATATATTGATTTTATGAAAGTTTTGATTTGTATGAAATTCATAATCCTTTTCAAACTTGTTATGAAAGAAAATACTCTTTCACTGCACCATTAAAAGAACATCAAGTAAATATATTTTGTAATTAAAAAGAAAAAATGACCACTTCTGATGTTTTAAAAGGCACAACCCTTGATTGGTTTATTTTTGGCGATTTTTTCTGTTGAAATTATGTTGAAAATATGAAGAGCTTTTTTAATAACTTTTTAAATGTTAATTTATTTGTTTCAAGAAATGTTAACCAGTTTCCAAGCACTATAAATAATATAATATTACTCTAAACCTCCACCACTAGATGGCGAGTACCTTGATCTGTATAATCTGCAAGTGGGAAAGTCAAAACAATGACATAAACATTAAGTCATAATAATGGTGTAAATAATTTTTGAAAAAAATTATATTCGTAGTAGCTTTCTTGTGATTCAGGACTTGTTTTAAATGTCTTACTCTCGAGTCCACTCGTCTAGTGTACATTACGTAGATCAACAAGTACATTCGCGAATACAACTGCAAAGAAACAATGATACCATACCGTTGACATGGATATCGGTGACGCGCAATTCAAAACAGAAAGAGAGAGCGAGACTCGCGCGAGTAAAGGAAAAAAAAAACAGTCGATGCAAAAAGTCGCCTTCGACGCATTGTAGCGCGTACGCGCATGTGCTTACAGACATTACACGCGCGTCAAGAGAATCGTAAAGTGTATAAAATGAAGAGAAGAAGAAGAGGAAAAAATGCGGAGAAAAAAGAGGTGAGAACACACGATGTCACCGCGAAGATGAGCAATACTTGGCCGTTCAATTGCGCACGTATGTACACACATATAGACGTAAACGTATTGCGAGCGTAATTTTAATGGCGAGCTACCGAGCTGTCGAACGCGTACACGTTTTTATGCGTATACCGCGAACCGCAATAATTTACGCGCGCACGTGTGTGTATGTGTGTGTGTGCGTGTGTGTCATGCGCCGCAGTACACAAATCATAATGAAAAATAGTGGGCAATCGATAATAATAATTATTTATGGCACCGCGCGTAGCACTCGCCAGACGCGCACGCCTGCCCATATAACTGTCGCTAAGATACTAAAATGTGATGCGAATGTACGATATATAATATAAGTAATATCGGCCCCCGCGCTCGGCACTTTGTGCCACCCGCCGAGCGATTTTCATTTTCCGCGAATTTTCCACGCGAAGCTTCTCCGCGAATCGTACGAAATAATGAATGTTAATACCTTGGATGTCGAGCGAGAGGGTATAGTAGATGTAAAATAAAAAAAAATATCACTTACCGCGGCGGCGGCGACGGACGATCGCTCTACTATACACAGTCAATAATTCAATCGAAAGACACACTTTTTCCTAGCGAGATAACAAACCGAACAGCAAGAAAAAAAACCAATAACCATCGAGAGCCCCGCAGCGCAGTACAGTGTGATGGTTCTTTTTTTTTCTATAAACCCGCGTGCACTTTTATTCTTCAACGAGAAATCATCATCATCGTCCTCGTCGTCGTAGTCGTTCGTTCACTTCGTTTCGCGCGGCTATCGCGGAACAGAATCGCATGAAATTGATTGGCAGCTTATAACGTAGGCGTGGTGTGGCGGTTGCCGTCGCTGCTGCTGTTGATAAACGACGACGAAGAAGAAGACTCTCGAGCTCGGCCAATTTCCATGGCATCGAGGATCGATTGTCTAGTATAGAGGCACTAGACGCTGCCGTGGCGAGAGTTATAAAACTCGATGCGGAGAATCTTCCTTCGTAGGCGGCAACGACAACAAAAACAACAACAATAATGAAAAAAAAAAGAACGGAGAAGAAAAAGTTATAAATTAGCACACTCGATGTTATTGATAACTCGTGGCCATATAGCTATATGCGATGTGCTGTATAGCTGCGTTGCGAGTTGCAGTGCAGTAGCGCAGATGTGGCGCGAGCGAGCTAGGCAAAAGTATTTTAATGACTCGAGAGCGCCGAAGCGACTGACACTAGCCCGAGCGCATATTTAATACAGGAACACGTGCACACATGCATACATCACACACGCACACAATATGAAGTGCAGCTGTGCCACTACTAGCTAGCTAGCCGCACTACAGCTCCCGTCAGCGCGCGAGACTACTACCAAAGTCGCGCGCGCTAATGCATCGCCGGCGTTACTATTATCATCGTCATCGTCGTCACCGTAATAAAAATAAAAAAAAAATAAAGGATCAACTCGTGGGCTATATAGCTTTTGTCGCAACGCGTGCTCGTGTGTATACATGCGCCTGTTGCAGTTCGTCTCTTATATGCACGCGTACACTATGTATTTATTATACTCGATGCTACAGGTGCTCTTCGGGGATATCGCGCGCGCGCGCTTTTTACGCGTTTTCTTCTTCTTCTTCTTCATTATTTGCCTAGACGCGAACGCGAGCGCACACAAGCGCGTTTTTAAGTGTAATTTTGCGGTTGTCTTTTTTTTTCTTCTTCTTCTACTTCTTTCGTCTGTTTTAACTTTTAGAAGAGCACGGCGATAAAATTGTTTGTGTTCGTGTGGCTATTACCATGAAGTGCTTGCGTTAGAGTTAAACGCGCGCGCGCGCGATGTAATTGTACGTTGGGTGCAAATATTTAACTTGAATCTCGTCGATCAATTTTCAGAAGATTCTTATGTACGCGCAATCGTTAGGAAATTTTCCGGAATTAATTCAGAACTTCGACGCCACTGCTCTCCGCGCGCGCGAGTGCTTTTATAAGCTGGCAAATTCTGCAAAATTTATTCGCAAAGATTCCGCAGCAAAAAGCGCAAAGCGGAAGTTAGTATAGAGGAAGAAAGTTTATCGAGAATGCGAGATTCGTCGCTTTGGGTTTAAAACAAAAAAATTTAGATCGAAATAGTTTTCGGCCTTGATACGAGATATTTCGAGTGTATTTCGACGTTTTATGAGAAATCTTAAAAATGTTTGAAATTAAAAATTTGTTATAAGAAAAATATTGATGAATTGTTTAATATAAACTCTGTGATAATCAACATGTTTTCATAAATTTATGATAATCGGGTTAGTCGTGTTTCAAAAAGCTTAGGTTAATTCTTTCACACCAGGATCAAAATTATAAATATTATTCGTGGCTGAAGGATAGCAGCACGAAATATTGTCTAACAACTAAAGAAAGATATAAATTAAAAAAGTATCCTTTATTATAAACAGCGATGGAATTTGCTATCAATGTGAAGTGGACATTGACATCTGTCAAACAACGACAAATTATTTTTTGCACTTCGTTACCAAATCGACAAACAAAATTTGCATATATCCGCTTTACCCGCACTAAATGTTTGCCAACGACAAATATTTCGATATTATAATAAGTTGCGAGAAGAAAATTAGTTATTCGTTCAAACATATAGCGCGTCATTAATTTGCGAAAGGCAAAATATTTTCCTTCGAATTCTGATCGCGCATAATTTCTCGACTCCATTCTCCATATACACGACGTGCGTCGAGTCGCGTCGAGTTGACAATGCGGTACGCGTTACGCAATCTCTCTCTATCTCTATCTCTCTCGAATTTCGGCCTGCATCTAAGACCACACATTGATCGCTACAGGCAACGAATTTCGAGCGTGACGATTATTAATTCAGTCAATCGTGACAACGCACATCCTGCCGTCGAATATTACAATCCGAAGCTTGATGCTATTTATCGTCGATCGCTCGACGCGTCGATGGGATCGTTGACGCGCGTCAATGGAGGAAGAAGCTCAGCCAATCGCGACTAATTAGGAGAGCGTGCAGAGTCAAAAGTGTGTACCGCAACTACCGCTACTCGGACGCGCATACAGACATATCATCAACAATTAGCTCGTCACGACCTTCCACTGCTTACTATATGCTGTACATCTATACATCGAGTTATAAGTACTCGAGTATAGTATACAACTCGAAATGAGCCTCGTATAATTAGGAGCTCGCGGGCGCGAGCAGCTTGCACGAGAAGCCCTCGGCCGCGATTGAATTTCCCGTAGTCGGAGGCGCACGCCCACGCCTCTCTTCTTGCCTATATACGCGAGTAGACGTGTGCGGTGGGTATATAAGCAGAGCTTTGCCTCCGTGTGTCTTGATGCCTCCGTAGCAAGCGCCTCTTTCAATTCCCGCAGCTTAGGCGTACGTTGCACTTACACGGGCTGTAAATTCCCTCGCGCGCGTGTGTGTATATATATATCATATTATTACGATCGGCGTACTGCCAAGAGCCGCCCAATTAGAAAGCAATCCTGAATGATTGCGCTTTCTTTCTGTTTCAAAATCAATAAGGAGCAACTACTACTGTATCTTGTGTATCGCGATATCGAATGAAGCTGTCGCTCGAACAAAGCCGATGAATTTCTGACAAGGTCATTCGCCGAGTTCACGCACATAATTGTATATATGTTGTACTTAGGAAAAAAATGTTGATTCGATTTTCCTGGACAGATACACTCTGGTAAAATTGCTCAACATTAATTACAGCCTAATGACAAAAAAATGATCATTTTAAAATGCACTATAATTGATTGGCTTGTTTATGTCGATTTTCCTGATGAATAACGTCAGAAGTTTTGAGCCCATTTAAAATAACCTGACATGACGATTCGACTGTATCAAAAAATTTAGACCAGTTTTTAACCACTTTGAATACAATAATATCATTTCAAGCCTCTGCCGCTAGGTGGCGAGTACCATCGAATATAAATCTGCAAGTGGCATAGTCAAAGAAAGTGTATAAGTCAAAGTTTTGATACTTCTGTGCAATTCGTCTTTCATTTCATTAAAGAGGTTGCTCCATCCTTTCTATTGCTCCTAGTGTAGAGTGAAATTTTACGCAGATTCGTGGAGTTTTAAGAGATGCATTGTATACACTCGATTTGGCAAATTGGAAGAATGGGATGTATTGTTGAAACTGAAAAACTTTTAGCGCTACGCGTAGCAAGTGTAATTCGACTGGACTTATATCTACAGTAATAATAAAAACAACAACAGTGAACGAGAAAAACGAAAGAAAATGCAACCGGATTGTATGAATAATCTTATATTTTCGACGAAGATTCGAAAGCTCACGGCGATATCGAAGCAATTGTATCTGGCGATTTTTCGGATCCGTATACGCGAAATAACCTGGAATTCGGGGCAGTATGTCGAGTCGCTAAAAATCCTCACGTATCCTATATTATATACTGTACGCGACGCTTAACAAAATGGAAAATGAAATACCTCCCTCTCGCACAAAAGCGGAAAAAAGATAATAATAAATAAAAAAGCACATGTCTTCGGGATAAGCGCACGCACGCACATGCGTCGCGCACTGGCAGCTGTTCTCGTTGTTTTTTTTTCTCTGTCTCTCTTTCTCTCTTATATACATTTCGTCTCGCGGAAAAATAACTCTCTGCATCGGCATTCATATGCGGCTATTTTTAGCTCTCGAGCATGAGAGAGAGAGAGAGAGAGAGAGAGAGAGAGAGCGAAAAAAAACGCACTTTTTTACGATCATCAAGGCAAATCCTAAGCGCGCGACGCTCTCGTGACAATGTACTATTTACGATTTCTACAGCTCGTGCTTTCTCCGTCGTTTATCACGCACACACATATGTGCACATTTTTCCGGCTCTTTGTGAGAGCTGTTACGCTGCCACTGCCGCGTCCCTATATAAAAGATAATGACTCGCCTGCGACGGTAAAACAAGGGTGAAAAGTAAAGAAAAGAGTAAATCATCGAGTATACGATGATCGCGCATCGAGTCGCGAAGTGCTTGTGTGATATATGCGGATAAAAAGGCACGTGTTGATTGGATTTTCGAGTTCACGGGACACGAAACCACACGAGATAGAGGGTAGGGGGGAGACTCTTTCCATGATACTTTGCGTTTATACACGAGTCGCAAGTCACGTTTAATTAAAGTTCGCGATCAGTTTGAAAGTCAAAGTTGTATACGAGCGCGCACGAGTTGAGGTAAAAAGTGATCTGCGACTGTTTATGCACAGAGTGCGGTTGCATATATCATTGCATGGATAACCAACAGTGTGTCCCTGATCTTTCATTTACTTTTAATTAATTAATTTTTTTGAATTAAAAAAATTGTGTTTTTTTTACACTGTGTGACGTGTACACGCGCCCGCGTTTGAAAGGCCTCTCTTGATTACAGGCATTATATTTCTACTCACTCGTAGTTTATCGAGTCTTTTTTTCCAGGATAATACCGTGTATTATATATTATGAGCTTATATATACGGGGGTAGCCCGCCTTTAGCGCCACAGAAAACTATAAAGGACTTTTTACCGAAGAAAAAATTACTTTAATATTGCGCGCAAACTCCTTTGGCCCAACTTTTCGACAACACAACTCCCTTTCTCTCTTCCGCTTTTCCTCCTTCCTTTTTTTTCCATCGTTTACGTTTTCAAGAAGATTACACGGCTCCGCCGTTATGCAAATAGTTCACGAGGCAAAAATTTTGTTTATCGAGTGTAGGATGAAAATAAAATGCCCGAAACGCTTCGTGTGCCTTTAAGAAGCTAACTCTCAACTCGTATTACATTCGTTCCTAGCTTTCTCCTCGCTCTTTTACGCATCTATTTTTATGGCTCATTTGCGTCTCCCTTTTGCGCACGCGAGTTTGTGAATTCTCTCCATTCGGCACGTTATGTGTGTGTGTGTGTGTGTGTATACTTGGGCAAAACGCAGTGCAGTCTACACACTGAATCTCGCGTGTCTGCCTTTCCTCGTGAATTTTTTAATT